CTGAAACAGAGAACTCTCAAAATGAATTTGTCATTGTAAGGGCCTTGGTGAAAATGAATAAGAGATGGAGCGAATACTGGCAGGTGTGATGTGACTGAACCAGGAGACTTCCTGTAGCTGGAGGAAGAACTCACACTATCTTTATCTTTGCTCCTGAACATAAAACATATGTAATTGTTGTGTGCATGACCACAACATGTTGACCTCAACACATGACACGGGCGGTGGTGGCGAAGTCAATAGGGACTTGGCTTGGCAACTGGAAGGTCACCAGTTCAAATCCCGGAAAGACCAAGTGCTACCGAGGTGTCCCTGAGCAAGGCACCGTTCCCTACACTGCTCCCCGGGCGCCGTTCAAAATGGCAGCCCACTGCTCCTAACACTAGGATGGGTCAAATGCAGAGAAACCGGTTCGTTACATGGTACCTGTACTACGTAATGACAATAAGTTGAATCTATCTATGATCTGTAGTTTCCAGACTCTCAAAGCTATTATTCTATTCTATTGAATACAGTCCAACACGTTGTCTATTCTTTCTTCTTCCTGTAGGAAAACTACTAATGCTACGTTTCCAAAACAACATTCATCTTTAGTATTTTAAATTCAATCACATCTGACAGGAGCAAAAATAGTCAGCTTTACTCAATAAAAGAGCACATGAGAGGAAATGTTGTATCATTAGTTTGTCCAAGATGTATTTTAACTGGTTAGTTGCTTTTATTAAATGGATTTAACTGCCTACTAATAAAATAATGGGTAACTTTACTCAATGACAAAATCATTTATCGATTAAATGTGCGTTTAGTGACGGCTGCATTGCAACGGTTTTTGTATTACACATAATTTTAAACATTATCTTAATTAATGTTTCTCTCCCTATCAGGCTACAAGATTATTCTATAATAACTGAACAGACAGCCTGATTACCTTTCACAGTCTGCTGCAATGTTGCTTGCGTTTGTTGTTGTTTTTTAATGTTTCTGGTTGTTAGTTTGATGGCAGTTTTTGCTTCAAAAGTGGTGTGTGTGTGTGTGTGTGTGTGTGTGTGTGTGTGTGTGTGTGTGTGTGTGTGTGTGTGTGTGTGTGTGTGTGTGTGTGTGGGTGTGTGTGTGTGTGTGTGTGTGTGTGTGACAGGGACGGTTTGATGTTCTGTAAACTGTTTCCCTTTCCATTGGCCGAACACTTTGACTTTGATCACAAACATGTGCACAGGTGCACACACACACACACACACACACACACACACACACACACACACACACACACACACACACACACACACATACACACACACACACACACACACACACACACACACACACACACAGACCCCACTCAGTGAAGAGCCCTCTTTACGCTCTTGCTTGCTTTGAAGATCAGAGCTCGGCCGCTCTGCTGTGGATGGACTCAGCTCTCGTTTCAACTATAGCCCCCTTTAGATGATCAAAACACTCTCTACCTCCATCTATGAACTTCTATTACTCTCTTTTTAGGCCAGATGCTGGAAAGAAAAACAGTGAAGTAGATAATTGCCCTCCATCAAAGATGTCTTCTTTTGGAAGGTGCTCACAAAAAAGCTCTGCCCTAATTAAGACCAGAGGGTCGAGCTGTCAACCTGGAGTTCCTCCGCCCATCACTGGATCTCTAATTGCCCCTGTTTCGATATCTCCCTTTCTCTCCCCTTCTCTCCCTCCTCTTCCTCCTCTTCCTCCTCCCCTCCTCGTGTTCATTAGTTCTCACTAGCGCTCGCTCTTCTCTCAGCCCTCTCTAATGAGCGTTCAACGTGCTGCCGGACACACAGCCTTCCCTGTGCCCTGCAGCTCCTCTAAATAAAGCTGCTTTTACTCACTTGTTCCTCCGCTCTGTTGTTGCCTCCAGCTGTTCAGTTTTGACTCTAATTGGTAACTGCACTCGTCCCGCCTTCTCACATCCGCTCCTCCCGCGCAGCTTCCAACTCTAAATGCCGTTTTGTTTCTCTGTTTTGTTATCTCTACATTCATTCACTCTCTACACCGTCTATTTATTTTCTTTATCCTCCCATTTCCCCCTTCTTCCTCCCCTCCCATCTCATATTGCACATGTTGGCTCTCACAGCAGGAACCAATCAGAAGTTAGCTTATTACTCAGGGCATTTTTGTCCCATTTTATCTGATTTTCAGAGCTTTTTTATGGCCCTTTTCAAAGGCAACGTTACTGAATGATGAAACAACCATTAGCATTGCAAATATCAGCTGGATCCAGCCCTGAGAGATTTGCTGTAACTTCACCGCCCTGTTAGGAACAGCTGGATGTTCAGAGTGTTGTGATGCAATGTTCCCCAACCAGCCTGTCCTCCTTCGCTTTGTTGGTGTTTGAAGATTTATTTATTTTTTCATCATATTGGTTCTTTTATGCAGCTGTTTGCTGTTCAGCAGTTTTAGCTGCAGGGAGGGAATAGTTGGTCAGTCTATTGGGAATATTTCAACATCAAGTTTTTATTTGTCAAGTTTAAATAGCAGAACATCTACCAGATGGAATATGATATAAAGCAGATAAGAAGCACAACTTCTCCATATTTAATTGGCCTCTAACAGCCTTTTCTGCCATTTGTTGCTTTAAAAAACAATCAAGTGATTATCAAAAAGGTTGATCTGGTAATATATAAGTATTTTGTGCCCCCACTCAGTGACATGTTTCCATGCTTTGCTCTTCAAAAAGCACTTTGTGTGTGTGGGAGAGAAACTCCCTCTGCAGACCACTTACATGCACAACAACATATCACTACAGCAAAGGGGAAAGCATAATAGGGACCCTTCATCCTGGAAGCTCTGAGTGGTGCTAACATTTTGTACTGCTGTTTCCTTCATCTCCATGTATTCTATTTGGTTTCGTCACACATACGACACTGGAGAATGTAACCCATGGGCCATGAAGGACATCCACCGCCCCGTTTGCAACACATGAGCAACGAATCTACAACAACAGATTCGTATATGTATATTCGGCTCAGAATTTCCCCCTTTTCGCTTTCTTTTTCACAACTCACAAGAGCATTTTTGCCTCCAGCCACCATTACTTTCTGACTGTGGGTTTGAAGGCATTCCTCTGAGGGAGCAGCAGAAACCGAAGCGTCTTTGAGGAGCCTAAATGTCAGGCCGGGGGCCCTGAGGAGGCTGAAAATGTTCTGTTTTGTTGTTGTGTATCTCTGAACACGAGACAGCCAGACGGCGTCCTGCTGGGCTGCATGATTGCCGTCTCTCAGCGCCAGCATTTACCGTCCATATCCTCCATTTCACATCCTTTAAGCCCTCGCTCAATCCCCCTCCCCACTGCATTCACCAACACAAAATCAATAACAACACTCCAATGCCATTTCTCCGCTCCGAGGGGGTATGGCTCACGTCAAGCGTAATGGTTCACTGCAGTGTAAGTGTGTATTTTCCTCTGGGGACGCAGCTGAGTTGGGGGAGAGAGGGGGGGGGGGGGGGATTCGGGTGAGGAATTAAAGCTGATTTCATGCCCCCTTAAGACCCATGTGAGTTTTAACCACTAATTATTGTCTGTGTTACCCATGGGCAGCGAAGGGCCCTGAGCACCAGTGCAGGAAAAATAACTCAAATCCTTTTGACTTTAATACTACATTTTCATAAAGACTCTGTTAAAAGTAAAAGTCTTGCATTTACAAATCTTACTTTGATAAAAGTACAAAAGTATTGGCATCAAATAATACAAAAGTAGCATAAAGGAAAATACTCGTAATGGCAAATTTCAATTGACTTCATTATGACTATTGATGACTGGTAAAGGTAGAGCTACATTCAAATCTGCAGAATGAGTTCTTTTAATTGTTGGTACTTAAAGTATATTTAGATGCCAATACTTTTACTTGAGTCACATTTGAGTATTCCTACACTTTGGTACTTTTACTTTTACTTAAGTACAAGATCTGCATAGTTCTCCCACCTCTTGTATTAGCTAATAGTAAGTCACTTTTTCACATGTTGATTAATGGTGCAGCCCTATCCAGAACAAACCTATTAACACTGGAACACACATGTGAGATCAGAACATTGTCTTTGGTCCCCCGTCTCCCTCTGCTCTCAGAGATTCTGCCTCCCCAGGTGGTCCAGGACCAGAGCTTTCTCTCTCTTTCCCATCCTCTCATCCTCCATCCTTCTCAAGGTTAATCCCCTCCGCTCTGACAGCCATGTTCTCCTCGGGTCAGAGACGTTTCCCTGTGAGCGAGGCGTCGCCGGGCAGAAAGAGGAAACAGAGGAGGGCGGAGCGGAGATATGTACGATACTTTAATGATCAAGTCTGAAGTTTGATCTGGGATTCAGCTCTGTGTTTACTGTGAGGATTGACTGGAGCACAAAGGAGTGCTTCAGTCTGACTTCATTGAATCGCGGGACCCTGTATCTCGTGTGACTGTTGTCTGTCGGTGTCTTTGTACCTTCACTAGGACGCTGTGGATGGATGTGCTGTTTATTGAAACCAGGGCAGGCTCGCGGTGTTTGCACCAAGTAGGACAAGGTTACACTATTAGGCAAGAAGACTCATTATGAAACGAAAAAAAAATATGATGTCGCTTTGTGAGGAGTGAGCTCACTGGGTCAGGATTCTCAAATGTGACAATATACTGCATTTCTCTATTTGCTATGATTTAAAATTAAGTTTTGGGCAAAACAATAGCTGGAAAAGAGTAGCTTAGCCATGAGCTTAACCAGTGTTTCCGCCAGACCAGGGCTGAGAGGGGGGGTGTGTGACGTCACGTCGTGTCACGTGACTTGAATTTTGATTTGAGCCGATAGTGGCCGTTTCTCAATCTCGAGGATACTGGCTTCCAAGCCAATATGTCAAGGATGCTACGTCATCGAGTGCCGCCGAAGTACTGTTCCAATCTCCAGCATACTTGGAATTCCACCGAGGCCGCGTCCTTGTTTTGGGGGAAATTTCGAGGCTGCACATGTGTAGACTTCGCGTCCTTAAAATCCCCACAATGCTTTGCGCACGGACCAATTTCAAAAACCCTTGCGGAGAATGGCTGAACCGACGCAGCACACATTTAAATGTAAGTATGGAGTGGCGTAGAAAATGTGTTGGTAAATATGTTACTTTGTTACATTTGTTACCACCATAAATGTGTTCCGTGAAAGTAAAGCAAGTTCATAATAGACATCGGTACAGTTTATGTTGAAACCGTTAGAGAGAGTGGCACACTTGTTAGCCTGTTCCATTCTTCTTCGTGTTCCAAAGCCGTGGCTTGGAAGTATACCTGCTTCGTTTCTGAAGGAAGTGACTTGGAAGTACGCGACTACCAAGCCAGCATCCTCGCGATTGAGAAACGGCCACTATCTCTTTACGTATTAGTGATGGGAATTGCGGCTCTTTTTAGTGAGCCGGATCATTTGGCTCGGCTCACTAAGACTCTTTCGGCTCCTAAACGGCTCTTCAGTTTACCACAGTTTACCACGGAGCCTCAGTTTCGCCGCTGCGAGGCTCCGAAGCTCGCAGTTCACGCGCGTTCTCCACTAGCACCCCCGTCAAGGCTCGCCTGGAGTACACTTTCCGTCACAGGAACACGCTTTGCTGGCGGCGAAAATAATCCCACCAGACTCCTTTGCCCCTCCAACAGAGGGATGTCCTTGTCCTTTTTCCTTTTCGTCATTTCAAGCGATAAAAACTTGATCTTCTATTGAATTATTTATTTTTTTGGACGCCCTCGGCTCGAGTTCAGGGCTTTCCGAGCTGAATAAGAGCGTCAAATGACGGCAAGACGCCCCCCTGGTGGAAACGCTGAGTTTAACCCTAACCCTAAACTTAAAAAACTAACAATGTATTAACTAATCAACAAAGTCATCTGAGTAGCAGCTTCACAACGATCAAATATTGTTTAAATTATGAACTGATATAATGGACATATTTTTCTTTTCAGCTCAATTGTCATTTCCTTCTTTTACTCACTTTTTTGTTTATTTCTATTCTTGTCAACATTTTTTTTTATCATTGTTGACATTTAAAATAGTTTTTTTAAAAGCTTTTAAAAAATAGTAAAATATTTGTTCTTTAATTTTTCCACTTAATTCCTCTTATTGTATTCATGTATCCGCTACACACCAAATCAAGTTCCTTGGATGTGTTAGACTACTTGGCTAAATAAACCGGATTCTGGTTCTGATATTTGATCTTCATGTGTTCTGCTCCTCTACAATGCATCAGATTAAAGATGGATATTGATCGTCCCTGAAGGAGAGCCTCAGCCTCACACGAGGGTACGGTTGACTTATACATTTGTGCCGTACATGCATCAATGCTGAATTATTTATGCTTCTTAAAAGGTCTAGTTGTACTGTCTGTTACATTAATAACTGCCTCTTTTTAACGGGGATGGCAGCCACTTACTAGATGATGCTAAACTACTTTGACTTGCTTTTATCACTGATAAATCTTTGTTTTTGAGCAAAGCTGACAAAATGTTTTCTTCTTTCTTATGTCTATTTTTATACCTCCAGTCTAGCCTAATGTTAATCCGAATGAATTTTGATTGGATATTCATTTGTGTGACGTTGCTGCCTGTAGTTTTGTAGTTTGAAAACCCAAACACCTGCAGTTTTAATCTCATAAAAAGGATCAAATGTAGTTTGTTGTGAATTAAAGAACAAAGCCAGCGATTTCAAAACACATTAATGATACATGTGAATTATGAACCATTTATCACATGAATAATTGAGCACAGATTTCATTGCTGTTTTGTCGAGGATGAAATCAATCTGGATGAAATGTCCAGTTTCTAGGAACGATGGGCAGCATGTCTTTATTAGAATCCCCATAAGCACCAGCTATTAGCATTAGCATGAATCCCCATAAGCACCAGCTATTAGCATTAGCATGAATCCCCATAAGCACCAGCTATTAGCATTAGCATGAATCCCCATAAGCACCAGCTATTAGCATTAGCATGAATCCCCATAAGCACCAGCTATTAGCATTAGCATGAATCCCCATAAGCACCAGCTATTAGCATTAGCATGAATCCCCATAAGCACCAGCTATTAGCATTAGCATGAATACCATTAGCATTGGCAATTCTACCTGCCGCCCAAACACATATTTACACACAATAAACACACGACACAGAATTAAACAGCTCATCTCATGTCATTAACAATTAAGTATGGAAGTAAAAAACAAAATGATCATCCTTTCAGTTATCATCAAGCCAAAAATAACAAGATTAACTGTACGCACACAGACACCGTTCATTACAATTAAAAATGAAGATGCTATTTAATGGTGAAAACCTTCCTTTTTAATAAAGCATGCGGTTAGGGCTGGTTTCAACCTACTAACATCCGTACCATGCTGCGAATGGATCTGGCCCTTCCTACATCCAGGACATGGTTAAACCGTACACCCCAGCACGTGCACTCCGCTCTGCATCAGCCAAACAGCTCGTTGCACCCGCGCTGCGAGGGGGACCCAAGTTCCCATCAGCAAAAACACGTGGGTTTGCTGTCCTGGCTCCAAGATGGTGGAATGAGCTCCCCATTGACATCAGGACAGCAGATAGCTTGCACACCTTCCGGCGCAGACTGAAAACTCATCTCTTTCGACTCCACCTCGAGCGATAGAATTACTAACAAAGCACTTATATACTAATAAAGGACTGGCTTATCTAAAGCCAGTTGAGTAGCACTTGAAATGTTTTAGCTCTATGAAGCCTGATGTACTTATATGATTCTGTTTTCTTCAAGGTTGTATCTTCCTGGTCGAATGCACTTATTGTAAGTCGCTTTGGATAAAAGCGTCAGCTAAATGCAATGTAATCCTCCTGGGCCTTAGATATTGTGTTTTATTTGACTGTTTTTGTTTGTATTTTACATTCCATCTTGTAACTTTATCATATCTTTTGAATTTTCAGTCATGTTTGTTGCTCTGCAAAGCCCTCTGAGATGGGTTTTGTGAGAATGGGCTCTATAAATAATATTTGATTTGATTTTTATTTGAACAGACATTTGATCCGATCTTTAGTATTCTCTTGTGCACCGGCAATGAACGAGAAACTACATCGACTCAATCGCCTCACACCAATCCTCCATATTGGATGGGTCACGTAATTCCGGCTAAAATAGGGAGTCTTGTCCAGACATCCAGCCTATTTCTCAGTAATAGCCTGGCGGAGCTCCCTGAAGAGGCCAATTCTGGCCAGCGAAGCCCCACTTAAATTCTCCGTGAGACAGAGGAAGAGAGAATAGCGTCTGCGGAGCCACTTAAAAGCCCCCGGGTGAAAATGGGATTTCTGACCTGCTCCACTGGTGCCGCAGCTCTGTGGCCAGATTGGCTGCCAGGTGGGAGAAGGAGGGGGTAGAAGATGGGAGGAAGATGGGAGGAATGGATGGATGCTGCTGCTGGTGATGGTGTAGACCGCTAGGACCTCATTAGCTCGACATTTCATCAAACACTACGGCACCAGGGTGGCTCTCACTGCCTCCATATATCTGTTTCTCTTAAGCCAGACTTTCTTCCACTTTCTTTTTATCGCTTTACTTCACTCTCTTTCACACCTTCCTCTCTGTGCCGCCGCTCCTCCAGGTCTCATTAGCCAGATGAGGCCGTTCGTCTGGTGATCTGACACTAAGTCAAAGTCAGCAGATGAGGGTGATAACGGCGCATTTCCCACTCACACTCACATCCAGCTATAATCGTTCTTGTTAATGCCATGGAAATGTAAATGTGTTATGGCTATAAGAATGTAAATAACCATCATACTTCTGCTGGGGAGATAGTTCAGGGTGCATTAAAGGGCTCTGCAGGGCCTGGTTTGCATATCATTGCTGCTCAGTGCAAGGGGGGGAAATCAGAGACACACCCACATGCATAAAAGTACATGAGGAATAACATCACACACACACTAACACTCTAACAACATGTAGAGCAGCTTTACATAAATAGATTTATGGTCATGATTAATGTTCATGCACAGAGAGAAAAAGGCACATTCTTAATAATACATACATGTGTGCAGAAGCATGACTTCCAGTGTAGTTTAATCTGTGGCTGGGTCTTTAACAACAACATGATGACATATACAGTAACTGTACTGTATTTTTGTAATACTTTATAGTCATATAATCCAACAAAGCACTCAAGATGTCCTTATAAAAAACAAATAAAATGTGTTTAATAAAATGAAACAAATAAAATGACTCTTCTGATGATGCGCTGATACTTTGTTCTTATTATTGCTCAATGTGTAAACTTTACTCTTGTTGTCAGGAAATAGTGAAACATGTCATAATATCCACAATTCAATACTTCTATATTGTTATAGTTATCAGATTTTATCTTTTGTGGATGGAGTCCAGAACAAATGTGACAGGACATTAAACATTATGCTACATTTAAAATGCTTGCTTTCTTAGCTAACAAGACTCTGAAACCAGAAGATATTCAGTTCATAACATCACATAATTATCAGTAACATCTTCCACAATATTCCTCTAGAGTTGCTGAGTTTGATATAATATGCTGAGTACTTTAGGTTGATATTTGATAAGAATTCAACGTGCGTTTTGTGCACCCGGCCTGTTGTTTTGAGGTAAACACACATTCCTCTGTAGTGTGTGAGTGGGAGAAAGATGTAAGGTGGATCCTTTGTAAGACCCCGGGGTTTCTACCTATCGCAAAAGCAATATGACAAGCTACACATCCCCAGGAGGCTCTGCCACTACCCATTTGTCAACAAAGCATTTTCTTCCTCAAACACACAGCGAGGCTTTTTACCACACTCCCCCTAGGTGTGCTTTCCTGTCTGCTTTGCATATTTCTGTATAAACCGGGGCTAAACACACATTTCAGAGCAATTGTGACTTCTGGAAGAAAAACTGAAAATATGGAGAACAAACTTAAAATTCAGCTGTCAGTGCTGCGAGTGCTTTCACCGGGAATAAAGAGGCCACACATTTCAATTCACAGAACATCATATTTGCAAAAGAAAGTTCTATTACTGTACATTTGTAATTCAACATGTATATTTTCAACTTTTTATTCTAATGCTATTTTATTTCTATTGAGATGTTTACATTTTGGAATGTTTAATGTTAGAAAAATATCACTCGTCACCCGCTTGAGCTTCAATAATCAGGACACATGTATTTATTATCCTTGCAAGAAGAAGTAGTCATCACATACAGAGCATTTGGTACAACTAGTTCCTGAACAGTGTCCTCCACATGCTGACATACAAGAGAGGGAGTTACACAGTCACAAGATGGAGGAATACCGGTTCAAAGCAGTATTCAATGTTTACTTCAGATTAGCTCCACGTCAGAAATGAGCATGCTTGTTTGCTTCAATCTTGTTTTTCTTCCCTCTCCAGCCTCCCAGGATGCACTGCAAGACCTGCGCCCTGGTCACGAGTTCGGGTCACCTGATTGGAGGAGGTCGGGGGGAAGAGATCGACCAATCAGAGTGTGTCATCCGGATGAACGACGCTCCCACCGCCCGGGGTTTCGCCCGAGACGTGGGCCGGCGCACGTCCCTGCGCGTGGTCGCTCACTCCAGCATGCAGCGCGTCCTGAGGAGCCGCCACGAGCTGCTGAACGCCAGCCAGGACACCGTGTTCATCTTCTGGGGCCCCAGCAGCTACATGCGGCGCGACGGGAAGGGCCTGGTGTACAACAACCTGAGGCTGATGAACCAGGTGCTGCCCAAACTCAAAGTCTACATCATCTCCTGGCAGAAGATGCTGCAGTTCGACGAGCTCTTCAAGAAGGAGACCGGCAAGGACAGGTGAGGGAGAGTTCAGAATCAGAATACCTTTATTAGCAGCCAGGTGTATATATATATATATTGCACATATTGCACATCACCCTTTAAGGCTAAAACTGCGACATTAACATGATGAGCTCAAGTGATATGTCACATACAGGAATGCATTCAGTTTTTGTGGACAGCGTGTTTGAATAATGATTCGATAAAATCAGTCCTCATTTTCCAAGTAAGAGGATAAGCAACATGTCAAGAAAATATTTCAAACATCTGTTGGTACAAGATTCTCAAGTGTGAGCATTTGCTGCCTTTTATTTGACTAATGTGATTTGGGAGTCTTTGGAATAAATGTTATTTGGCAATTTCACTTAGGGCTTTGGGAAAATGTGTTTTTTTACTTTACAGAATAATCCCTCAATTGAAAATAAATAAAATACTACTGAATCAGAAATCCTTTATTAGTCCCACAGCGAGGGCATTTACCATGTTTCAGCTAAAGTTGAATAGCAGGTAAGAAAATAAATGAAATGAAATGTGAAATAATAAAAAAGTAAAGTACACAGTAATAAAATATACAACCATGGCGAAAAATAATACGCAGTCATTTCAGTAAACTTAGTGAAAGATGGCATTGAAGTATTGAAGTATTGTGACCTTGAAAGTATTTTCGTACAGATGAACTGATAATTAATTGAATCTTAGGAGACTTGAATAACAGTGACATGGTTATATGGTATGGTAATGCTTTTGGGTATAAGAGCATCTTGTGTAGCATTTTCAAGCCTATTAATATATATAATCAGTGCTCGAAGCACAGTTAGATTTCTGTCTATCTGGTTACCAGTAAATATTTCTCAGTGCCACAATTCTTTATTAAATGACCTTACTTTTATGATGCATTTATGGAAATGATTTGGCCAAATAGCTCCTGCTCAGATAACCTGCTAGAGGAGGCAGAAATGTGCCGCAGCGTGAGGTTCACAGGCTGGTTTGATATTAGTCCAGTTGGAAGGCTGTGTGATAAGAGTTTCTCCTCAGGGCTCCAGAAGTCTTTCTTGAAGTGGTCAGTCTTCATGGTTTGAATGTAATGGTTTCACTTTTCGCCCCATGGTAAAGAAACACTTAAAGTGCAACATGCAAGCCTGCTAACATAAAACTTTAGAGGCAGCTTCGCATATAGAACGCAAGGATAGGTTTCTATTTAAAACCAGTGATATTATGTGACAAACAAATCATCGCCTGACATCAGGGAAACACATCTTATACTGTCCTGCCATTAGATCACAAGAGGGCCTATTCTGCTTTGTGGGGTTGTCCCATGTCCTGTAGTGCAGGGGTTCCCAATCCCCGGTCCGGTACTGGGCCGCAGACTGGTACCGGGCCACGGAGGTGTTACTGCCGGGCCGCGAAATAGCTGTGAGTTTATCGTAATATTTGAGAATTATAAACATATAAAAAAATTATCATAATATTTTTTTTTTAAAGTGTTTAATTTTCGCACCTATACCAGTCATATTATTTCATCCAGTAGCCTAGTTAATCTTTCACCAGGAAACCGTTGAAAATGGCTTTTATGATGTTCCGAGGGATTCGGCGGCTCAGCCTCTCGTGCGCACGAGAAAGTTACCGGTGCGCCAAGTAGGAAGAGGAGCGCACAGGAGACAACCGTTTAATTGCAGACCGTTATGTTTATGTGGGGAAATACAGTGCATACATTATTTGAGATATATTTCAAACTCGGACTTCAATTTAAGGACATGTCGGCCAGGGGTGTAGAGCTATTTGTTTAAGTACCGGATTGGCAAAACAGGAGAGTAAACCAGTCTGCCTTGATCTATGAATTCATGTCCGGGACTCTCACGGTATCTGCTGCCCGCAGCTCCTTATAGAAGGAAAACCTCCTTCACTTCATGAAATGGCTGCCGCATTAGGAGGCAGCGGGACGTGTAACTCCGCCTCTGAGAAGAGCAGCACCAGCGGGTAAAGATGTGTGCCTTTTTACGCACCGCCTTCGCTGTGTTTACCTTCAGAACAGCGTGTGTGTGTGTGTGTGTGCTCTGCTCAGCTCTGTGTGTTTGCATCTGTCGGACACCGGCATTTGTTTTCAAATGACCATGAACAGTAATTTACACACATCTGGCTAACTCCATAGGTATATGCGGGTGTTCCTATAGGAAGTTAGTTTAATCTTAATCTCTATGTAGTGCTAAATGCTGTCGGAGTGCACCGGAACGAACGTCACTATCATAATATCTTCTGAAAACAAATGCCAGTGTCACACACACACACACACACACACACACACACACACACACACACACACACACACACACACACACACACACACACACACACACACACACACACACACACACACACACACACACCACACACACACACACACACACACACACACACACACACACACACACACACACACACGACCGGACATCTCCTTCATAATGCGCCTTCTCCTCGTTTTGCCATCACTGGATTATCCGTAAATCATACAAACAAAACCAAAACGTTGATTTATCTGTTTTCCCGTTTTGGTTTAAAAACTGAATAACGTCGATTTTTTGGTTTTCCGTTTTTCTGAAAAAACTAAAAACGACACCGGTTCTTTTTTAAACGTTGTTAATATGTTTTGGATGCAGATTATTCTAGTATTTGTTCAGGCTGTTACATACAATTAGCCTCTGTTGCTGCCTGCTGGTGAGTAAATATTAAAATCAGTTCAAATTGACAACCGGTCCGCGATTTTTTTTTTATTGGATCTGCCGGTCCTTGGCACAATAAAGGTTGGGAACCCCTGCTGTAGTGTGTTGTATAGGCTTTTTGTGCATGGCAATGGTCAATGGTGCAAAGACTAAAACCCCAGAGTTTCTCTCCTACACACTCCCCCCCCCCCCCCCCCCCCCCCCCCCGCCCCCGCCTGAAACAGCTCCATTGTTTACATCTGCAACATAATGACATCACTATGTAACACTGGCGCTTCTATTGGCTCCAACACATTATACGAGATAGACAAAGGGTGAGACTTCTCTAAGCAGATAACCAATCACAACAGCCCTGGTTTCAGACAGAGGGAGAAAAGAGGTGCTGCAAAACACGCCGGTGCATCACCATCTGTCTTTTGTTTTTGAAAATCAAATTAGAAAGGCATCATTGGGTAATGAAAGTGTATCGAGTTAATGTTTCCTGCTGGGACTTCACCGAGGGAAATGTTTCAGAGTAAATGTAAAATATACTTGCAATGAAAAGAAGAAATAATGTTTTGTTTACGTGTGATCAATGATTTAGAAAGTCTTTTGAGTTTCTGCAGCGTCTTTTCTCAAGCAGTGTTAGAGGGCTCAGATGTAATGAGTCCTAGCTGAGTCCTCAGTCTTGAGGCCAATAACACTTAATGAAAATGCTATAACACACACACACACACACACACACACACACACACACACACACACACACACACACACACACACACACACACACACACACACACACACACACACACACACACACACACACACACACACACACACACACAGTTAGTCTCTCTCCTTTTGTCCGGAGTGTTGCTGGAGACTGAATCTGACTCCAGCGTTTAGACAGATGTCAGGGAGAAAATGTTGAGGATTTGTTGAATGGCCAAGACCTCCTTCAGGATCTATGTCTTCATTCATGTTAAGTGTTTAAATGTTTACAGGGAGCAAGCGGCTTCTGATGTACTGTTATCTTTTTTATAGCATTTGGCATTAATATCCGTGGGGCTTATTTGAGGTCATTTCAGTTCTGTGGAGCGTGGGAAGAGAGCCTCAATGATTTTACATCATTTTAATGATGGATAAAAGTTTAAAGGAAGCTTTTGGCATGAAATAACAACATTTGAACGCATTTATAGAATGAATCCTATAGTTTTTTCCAGGACTGTGAAGCTGTGTGAGCTGCAGTAATAGCAGAGTTTCTGGGTAATCAACTGTGCGATCGGCAACCCGGCAAGCCAGTAATTGTAATTATGGGTTATGCCGTTTCAGTAAAGGTAATTAAGACGGTGTGGGATGGTGTCACATCCACCCATTTTAATAAAGCTGGCAGAGGAGAAATTAAAAACAGGTGTCCCTCTGCATCCTCCGTGTTCAATTGCCATGCCTGAATGAGCCTCAACCGATGATTAAAGGCAAATTAGCTTTTTTAATAACTTGTTATCCCTTTTTATTTATATACATAATTGTATGCTCCCATAATGCTTTGTTCTAATCACTTACAGTCTTACTGTGTTTTACTGTAAGGTTTCTACTTGATTCATTTGGGAAAAGTAGCTTAGTGCTGGAACAAAGTGTGTAGGTGTCAGGTTCATTCAGTTACCAAAAGACAGTTTGACCCTTTTAAAAGTAAACCTAAATGCTGAAAAGAAGATGAAGCTAAAGCATTGACAGTCCTGCAAAACTAAACTGGGCTGACTTTGAAGGTCAAAAAGGAGAAAGAGAGCAGCAACAGAAGGCCTCGTATTCAACAGAGAACAATAGACTGTAGAGTTTACATTTACAAATCAGGTTCATATGTATATGCTGTGCCCTTACTGTGACATGTCTCCATGCTTTAATGTTCAAAAAGCCTATCACGTATAATAGAGGTTTCTCAATTCTTAAATGTCCCCTCCTCGACTCCCCTCCTCGATACTTAGTCCCGCCCACAGGAGATGCGAGCGGAGGACTGAGGAGGGGAAGCAGCAGGCGGTTAGAGAAATGAGAACTCCTCTCCTCTGAGCGGTCATTTTAAAGAGACGTCCATTGATGATGACAGGAGGCACAGCAGCCCTCTGTCTGATGGACAGATGTGTTCATGACCACTTATATATTTACTTTGATTCATTCACAGTGCGGTATAATGAGACAATAACAGGCTACAGATGCGGACACACACACACACACATATTTATATAAATATATACAATTTCAGAATCAAACAAGTATGAGAGCACTCTCATAATAACGTAACACAATCAGAGACTGGATATATCC